ACCGCTACCCGCGGAAGGTGACTGCCGCCATGGGCAAGAAGAAGATCGCGAAGAGGTCTAAGATCAAGTCTTTCGTGAAGGTGTACAACTACAACCACTTGATGCCCACCCGGTGAGTGCGGCGGCCCGCGGGGCTGCGGGCAGGGCCCGAGAGGTCTCGCCTGCTCTCGGTGGTCGTGGTTCTCGTGTTCTCCCCGGTGAACGCTGGGAGTCGCGGAGGCTCTTAATTACATGGTGAATGAAGGTGAGGCAGACGCTCTGCAGGGGGTGCGAGGCGGAGGAGAAGCATCAGTGACTGTCCGAAATCAGGCAGCCGGCTCCTGTAGCCGCGCTCGCCTTCCTCTTGACCGGGGCTGTCGGCAGAGGAGCTTTGAGGGTGTCGGCAGAGGAGCTTTGAGGCAGTCACGGGGATTGGGGTTGCTGGCAGAGGTGCTGCGGTCCAGTGACAGTTCTTCATGCCCCCTTCCCTCTGGCACAGAATGCACTGGACAGAGCAGCTTGTCTGCAGGGAGGTGTGTGGCCGCCTCCTTTACAGCGGAGTTAAATGCCTCCGAATGCTGGAGTGGTTCGATCGTGTCCTGGACTGAGAAGGCTTTAAGCGCCGCAGTCCCTTAACCCAGCGCCGGTACGGGCAGGCTCGGGCTGCCGTGGCACGGTCGCCCTGTGCCAGGCACACGACTGTCAAACCGCACCGCTCTCGTGCCCAGGTACTCGGTCGACATTCCTCTGGACAAAACAGTGGTAAACAAGGACGTGTTCAGGGACCCCGCACTGAAACGCAAGGCGAGGCGTGAAGCCAAGGTGAAGTTTGAGGAGAGGTGAGTTGGGATCTCGTCTCTTCAGCGGTGTCGGCTCCCACCTCTGGGGCAAGGACCCAGCACGGTTGTGCCACAACCTGGCTGAGTGCCGAGCTGGATGCCTCTGCCCCTGCTTCCTTGAATGCATTTTTGATTGCATGCATTCCTCCTCACCCTCTGCGCATGTCCGCCCAGCTGCCTGTGCCTGGAGCTGGTGGGTTGAGGTGGGGGCAGCTGCCAACAGCCGTAAGCTCGGGCCGGCGTTCGCAGCGCCGTCGCAGCCTTCTGCCAGCACGAGCGGGGCCTTTCAGGTGCCAGGCACCGGTGTCCTGGCGTCTCCCTGCTGGTTCATCCGCTGTCAGGGTGCTTAGCGGGATAGGGCAGCGCTGACACTGCCCAGGAGCGTTGGGGTTAACAGTCCTTAGTGCCAGCTCCAAGCGCCTCGGCGGGGCACAGGGTGTCTCGTGGGCAGGATGGATGGACGGACACAGGGTGTCTGGGGGGCAGCCCCAGGCCCTGGCTGTTGTGAGGTGCTCTGCTCGTGGCCTCAGAGGCCGTTCTGTGAGGGCATCTCCTGATGGCCGCCTGCCCTGTGGGGTGTCCTGTGCTCATACCTCTTGGAGTGGAAACCACCATGGTGCGGGTGTCCTTCACGAGAAAACCTGGAAGCTGACGTTCGCTTCCCGCGGGAGCTCACACACATGTTTAACGTAGGTCTGGTCACAGACCCGGTGAATTGCCCTGTGTCCTGCCTGTGCCTTGGGGACGGGTCCGCTGCTGTGGCGTATGGGGCCTTCTGTAACCATTGGTCCCTCCTCTTTCAGGTACAAGACAGGCAAGAATAAGTGGTTCTTCCAGAAGCTGCGGTTCTAAAGGTGTAACAAGGCTGCATCAATAAATGTTTATTAAAAACCATTTTGTTTTGTTGTGTAAAAAAAGCGTCGCCAGGCCCCCTCCTCTGTGGTGTGGATGCTCTTGCTGCATGCGGGAGCTAGGAAGGCCCTCGCAGCCCCGGGCAGCTGCGGGGCA